GGCGAATGCCGAGCCTCAAGGAATTGTGGGAGTTGAAGTCCACCACAGCTGGAGGGCCAAAGGTTCCCTACCCCTGCGTCTAGACCATGGCCATATAGCCCGAAAAAAACTACAACAACCCAGTGATTCCAGCCATGAAAGCCTTCGACAATACATTGGACTACCAACTGCTCAACAAGGGCCTTTCCAAGCATGTGAGGAAACATGCTTAGTAATCGATAACAGTGGTACTGCACCACTCCCTATCTAGAAAAGGCACTGGAAAGCACAGGAAAAACCAAGGCCAAAAGCTTGGAGCACTCACCCCCATAAGGCAACGGCACATGTTGGCATAGGCAACTGAGAAGTTTGGCTCGGAGATGGCCTTCTCAAAGATGAGGTCAATGACACCCTTGAGGCGCTCCTCTGTGTCGATGGACAGCTCGGTGACCTGTTTCATCAGCTGCTGGAACATCTGCGGTGTCAGCTTGTTCAGAATACTGCGCACACGACGGAACAGCTCCTGCGGGAAGGAGACAGCAAGACATACTCAGAGGGAGAGAGAGAGAGAGAGAGAAAGGAGTCTGCTCTATATGAATCCTCCTTGCTCCATCCATTCCTGCCCTCTTAAAACAATGGATATGATACACACAAATTTTTATTTATTTATTTACGACATTTATATGCCACCCTTCTCACCCTGAAGGGGACTCAGAACAGCTTACAAGTAATATGTAAATACAATATATTATATTATTACCACAGCACAATATTAGTATTACTATCGAAGACCCTTTCAGGAGCTCTGTGCATGTGTGTATGGCTAAATAATTTGTAGAATCTCCTGAATGACATACGTATTTTAACTAGTTGTTGCCATTAGCTGGCAATAGCTAGTAGTAGTATACCGTATATACTCGAGTATAAGCCAACCCGAATATAAACTGGGAAAATGTATTGCCTCGAATATAAGCCGAGGGTGAGAAAGGCAGCTGCTATGGGTAAATTTAAAAATAAAAATAGATACAAATAAAATTACATTAATCGAGGCATCAGTAGGTGAAATGTCTTTGAATATTTACATAAAACTGTAATTTTAGATAAGACTCTGATTGTACCATTATTCTAACCTTCTTCAATGTCAATGTGCCGACGTATCCTTCCAATAATAAAAAAAAGAGTACAATAATAAATGTAATAATAATAATAGAGTAAAATAATGAAAATGTAATAACAGTAATAATAGAGCAGGCATGGGCAAACTTGGGCCCTCCCTCCAGGTGTTTTGGACTTCAACTCCCACAATTCCTAACAGCCTAACGACTATTAGGAATTGTGGGAGTTGGGAGTCCAAAACAACTGGAGGGAGGGCCCAAGTTTGCCCAGGTCTGTAATAGGATAAAATAATAAATGCAATAATAATAATAATAATAATAATAACAACAACAACAACAATAGTAAAATAATAAATGTAATAACAACAATAAAGTAAAATAATAAATGTAATAATAATAAATTGATAAATGTAATAATAATAAATAGAGTAAAATAATACATGTAATAAAAATACTTATAACAACAGAGTAAAATAATAAATAACCTTGACTCAAGTATAAGCCGAAGGGGACTTTTTCAGCCTAAAAAAGAGGCTGAAAAACTAGGCTTATACTCGAGTATATACAGTATATATTACTATATTGTATTATACCATTATACTGTAATATTATTAATAATATTACATGTAATATAAAATATATAATTATAATATTATTAGTAGTATTATATTGTATTACATTATAATATTATCAATATTATATGTGGGTTGTTGTAGGTTTTTTTGGGCTAGAGGCATTCTCTCCTGACGTTTCGCCTGCATCAAGAGAGAATGCCTCTAGACCCGTGATGGTGAACCTATGACATGCATGTCAACACTGACACACATGGCTATTTTTGATGACACGTGGCCACATACAGAGAAGTACACCTTATAAGAGCCAATCTAATTCCATCCTTAAATTTGTAAAAGGCTCTACAAATTTAACATCTGCACGTTTGAGCATTGTTCACTCCATAACTCAGCATGGAATATACATTTTTCTTATTTAAACTATAAATATTGCAAAATTATGGGGTTTTTTCTCGAAGTCGACACCCCACCCAAGTTATGCTCAGGTTTTTGGCAAATTTTGACACACCAAGCTCAAAAGGTTGCCCATCACTGCTCTAGACCATGGCCATATAGCCCGAAAAAACCTACAACAACCCAGTGATTCTGGCCATTAAAGCCTTCGACAATACAATATTATATGTGCATACAATATATTATATTATATTATCACAGTACAGGGAACAAGGTGAAACTGTCTTCCTGGTTTAGAAACCTCTGTATGTAGGAGGCTAACCATTCCACACACACACAATAGAAGCAATGGCAGGTCAAGAAGAGAGTGGGAAGAAAGGTGTGAAAAGAGGAGGATTTCTGCTTTCTGGGGAATCAAGGAAGTCCTGTGTACATTTTTCTGAGGCAGGCATACACAGCATCCCTAAATTGTTAGTATCAAGGAGTCACAGCTACAGGTCACAGGAGCAGCTACCAACCTGAGTTTTTACGTTTTCAGGATCCTCTGGTTCACTTGCCCGCTTACTGCTGGGCTTCCAGGCCTTCTCGGCCTTGTTGAGCTTGACGTCTTCGTTCATAGACACTGCGGCGATAATCTTCCGGGGCTCCTTCCGTAGGCTTTGCTGGGAACGGCGTTGTCCTGGCCCCGCAGGCTTTGGAGGCAAGTGTCAGGAGGAGAAGCTGGGTTAGCATTTCCCAGGCACCACCTACTCTATAAATGAATGAATTTTATTGTTTCCCAGGCACCACCCACTCCATGCCACTGCACCTAAGCAGCAGTTCAGCAATGGCACTGCCAGATGAAAAACTCTACCAAGACACTATATGAAACTGCACCCAGACCTTCACGTTTGCTGGGTTTAAGGGCACAGAACTGCCATGAAAGTGAAAAATCTTGAACCAAAAACTGTTTTTTTTAAAATACTCGAGACAATATTTTGCTCGGAATCTCTAAATCCTCCAGCATGGTCAACATAGAATCATAGAATCAAAGAGTTGGAAGAGACCTCATGGGCCATCCAGTCCAACCCCATTCTTCCAAGAAGCAGGAATGTTGCATTCAAATCACCCCTGACAGAGGGCCATCCAGCCTCTGTTTAAAAGCTTCCAAAGAAGGAGCCTCCACCACACTCTGGGGCAGAGAGTTCCACTGCTGAACTTACATCCATTGCAAGTACCTTGAGATTCCCAGAGAAAACATTTTAATCAAACCCATGAGTTATCAAATTCACAAAATTCAAATCCGCAAATGGGGAAGGCTGGCTGCAGTTTCCTTCTGGCAGTAATAACTGCCAATACAGTTCTTCCTCGCATAACAATGCCCTTGAGTTTACTTCTACATACATCGTATTACATCTTTAGCTTATTTAAAATATCTTGCTATTTTTAATCTGTTTCAACGCTAATTTGTAAGCCATCCTGACTTCTCTTAAAGTAGACTAGCTGGAGCTTCCGGGTAGTCTTCAGAGGCAACCCCATGTAGAGTGCATTGCAGTAATCTATTTGGGATGTAACCAGAGCATGGACCACCGTGGCCAAGCCAGATCTCCCAAGATATGGGTGCAGCTGGTGCACAAATTTTAACTGTGCAAAAGCTCCCCTGGCCGCCACCGAAACCTGGAGCTCCAGACTCAGCAATGAATCCAGGATTACTCCCAAGCTGTGAACCTGAAAAGAACTATAAAGGAGAACAGGTATTTGAAGGCAGTGTGGGGTTATGGCTGCATGCGGGGGTGGTAAAATCGTCACACATTTGAGAGGATTTCTTCACACACTGAAGTGAAAACTGCCCCAAAATCACACTGAAATCTGGATAAAAAATGTAATGTTTGTTTGTGTGATTAGGTAAAGGTAAAGGTAGTCCCCTGACATTAAGTCTAGTCATGTCTGACTCTGGGGTGTGGTGCTCATCTCCATTTCTAAGCCGAAGAGCCAGCGTTGTCCGTAGACACCTCCAAGGTCATGTGGCCGGCATGACTGCATGGAGCGCTGTTGCCTTCCCGCCAGAGCGGTACCTATTGATCTACTCACATTTGCATGTTTTCGAACTGCTAGGTTGGCAGAAGCTAGGGCTGACAGCGGAAGCTCACGCCGCTCCCCGGAATCGAACCTGCAACTTTTCGATCAACAAGCTCAGCAGCTCAGTGCTTTAACCCACTGCGCCACTGTGGGATTAACATAACTCAAAAACCACTGAATGAATTGACACCAAATTTGGACACTATACCCCTAACAGACTAATAAGTGACCATCACTCATAAGCCCCCCTAAAGAACAGCAGAAAGGACTGAAAAGCTAATGATAAAATGATGAAAAGCTAAATGATGATACAGGAAAAAAGGGAAGAAAGAGGGAGGGAGGGAGAAAGAGGGAGGGAGGGAAGGGGAGAAAGAAAGAAAGAAAAGGAAAGAGAAAGAGGGAGGGAAAGAAAGATGGAAAGAGCGAAGGAAAGAAAGAGGTCAAGAAGGAAGAAAGGAGTAAAAGAGAAGGAAAAGAAAAAGAGGAAAAAGAAAAAAAAGAGGTAGAGAAGGAAAGAAGGTGAAAAGGAAAGAAGCAAACGGAAGGAAGGAAGGAGAGAAAGAGGGAGGGAAGGTGGCCACAGCAACGCGTGGTGGGTACAGCTAGTAACCATTAATAATTAAAACATTGGGGAGAGGTTCAGGTGTCATATGCAGGCTATAGGGTGCAGCACTATGCCCACTCCTGATATAACGAAGCAGAGGAACAAGTAAAGCATGGGATAGAAGGCATTGGTAATAAACAAGAAAATACATTACTATCACAAAGGAGAAAGCAACGGTGAATGTATAATGGCTGGTTTGATAGGACAGGGAACAAACCATGCCCATCCAAGCATAGTAAGGACTATGCTAATCCATCACCCAGCAGAAAGCCCTGGCTGCCGCTCAGATCCTCAGTTCCATCACAGGGTTATCAGTGGCCCAGACACGATGGCACTAACTAGGAGTTCATCACGTAGGCAGAGAGAAGGGACAGGGAACAGCTCTCAGAAGAAAAGAGACCACTTGGCAATACATACCGGTCCACGGTTGGGTGGGTTGGGCCAGCCCAGATTGGCGAAGGAAGGTGTGAAATCTGGTCCACTATTCATAGTGTTGAGGCGCACAGGGTCCAAGGGTCGCAGGGGCATTTTGTTTGCCTGTTAAGCAACAAGGAAGGGAAAACACACACAAAAAAACAGAGATTATAAGACGTTCAAGCTACACAACTGCAATCATCAAATAAGAGTCTTCGCTCAAACTTGTGATAAGTTCTACTTAATAATAATAATAATAATAATAATCTATATAAATAAAAATGTAATGTTTGTTTGTGGGATTAACAGAACCACTGGATGAATTGACTCCAAATTTGGACACAAGACACCTAACAACCCAATGTATGTCCTTCATTCAAAAATGATTCTGTCATTTGGGAGTTGTAGTTGCTGGGATTTATAGTTCACCTACAATCAAAGAGCATTCTGAACTCCACCAACAATGGAGTTGAACCAAACTTGGCACACAGTTCTCCCATGATCAATAGAAAAAACTGGAAGTGTTTGGTAGGCAGTGTCCTTTGGTTTTGGAGTCGTAGTTCACCTACATCCAGGGAGCACTGAGGACTCAAAAAATGATGGATCACGACTAAACTCTACACGAATACTCAATATGCCCAAATGTGAACACTGGTGGAGTTAGGGGAAAATAGAATCTTGACATTTGGGAGTTGTAGTTGCCCGGATTTATAGTTCACCTACAATCACAGGCCATTCTGAACACCACCAACGACAGAATTGGGCCAAACCTCCCACACAGAACCTGCATGTGGGCCACAGCAACGCGTGGCAGGGGACGGCTAGTAATAATAATAATAATAATAATAATAATAATAATAATAATACTTTATTTATACCCCGCCACCATCTCCCCAAGGGACTTGGAGCGGCTTACATGAGGCCAAGCCCAACAACACATCAATAAATACAAAAAGTAATAAACAAAAAAATAAATACAATACAATTAATATAAATCACATATGAACAAGCACCAATAAACAGTAACACACAAGGATTTAAAAACCTATGGCTGGGCCAAATGTAATAGTTTAAAAATTAAAAAATAAACACTGTGCATGAACAAGGTAGGATATATCTGGTATAGGGTTTTAAAAGAGAGATGAGGGAGCGCAGTCAATCCTAAACCAATGCATTTTGGGGACATATTGCTGGGAATTTTCTTTATTCTGGGAAGGCACATTGGAACAGCCACGTTTTCAGGCTCCTCCTAAAGACTGCTAAAGTTGGGGCATGCCCAATGTCCTTGGGAAGTAAAGTGAGTTCCAGAGTCGGGGGGCTACCACCGAGAAGGCCCACTCCCTCGTCCCCACCAATCGCGCCTGCGAAGGAGGCGGGAGCGCGAGCAGGGCTTCTCCAGATGATCGAAGAGATCATGTGGGTTCATATACAGAAATGTGGTCACGCAGGTAGGCGGGTCCCAAACTGGAATCACAACCTAACACCACTTCGCCATTTCCCTCCTTCTCTAGGGTGATGCCTGACTTGCGTAGCTGTCTAGACTTTATGATTAAGGCACAATCTTTGGCAAAGTCATATAAGGGTGAAGAAGCTTTCACTAGATATCCAACTGCCAATGGAGAACTGACCTTTTCCAGGACAACGTCGCTGATATGGGGCAACCCTTCAGGCTTCTGCATACTAGCAAAGATGAACTGGAAACCCAGCAGGAATTCTCGGTCATAGCTCTTCTTCTCTTCCGGGTTCAGGGGTTTCCATTGCTCTGTTGAGGGAAGGAATGTGAAGAATGACATATATTAAACACATCACTTCTTTTGTCTGAGATCGCGTTTCTGAAATACGTGGTTGGGAACGCCCTGTTGTAGTACGTAAAAGAGGGAACCGTTATTCACAGGGCAACCAATAACAGACATCTATAAGCACCACTTATAGATAATTTGGACAACTAAAAGTTCCATGGTTTCTGGCATTGTCTCTCCCTCAACACGTGGTTTATTTGTTTCGTGTCAAAAGCATAGCATAAATACATATAAAACTGATAAAATAGAGGGAACTCAAGCAGTTTTTGTAAACAACCCTGTGATTCCGACCATGAAAGCCTTAGACAATGTAGTGAGATGGATTCCCAGCTTACTGGAAGTAAAGCATTCAAGAAAAACATTCACTGCCTGCCAACCCAAAAAGTATGTGATGCCAGCTGTTGGAGTCAGGGACCAATATAGTCACATGAGAGACTTTTGCAATCAAGATGTCCTATTAAAGAGGGCAAAATGTGAACTGGCCATCACTGGTATGTTAAACATTCATAATGACTGGATTAGGGGGTGGAGGAATTCCTGTGAATTAATGACTGCAATCCAAGAAAAAGAAAACAATTTTTGTGGTATATTGTCTGCTCAGATCCTCAACTCCATCACAGTGTGTCAGTGGCCCAGACACGATGGCTCAAAAAAGAGGTCATCATAGAAGACTCAGGTAAAGGTAAAGGTTTTCCCCTGACATTAAGTCCAGTCGTGTCTGACTGTGGGTGTTGGTGCTCATCTCCATTTCTATGCCGAAGAGTCGCCGTTCTCCGTAGACAACTCCAAGGTCATGTGGCCAGCATGACTGTATGGAGTGCCATTGAGAAGGCTCAAAAAGAAGACATTTTAAAACAAGAAGACAGGAACCATCTCCACCCCAATTTGACTTACCTTCCTTGTAGCGGTACTTCTGATCCGCCTGCTTGAGCTTCTCAGGGTCTAGCTTATCCTCCTTCTCTTCCCATGTCTCTTCAGGCTCCTCCTGGGACCGAACTGGGGCAGGCTCCTCGGGCTCTGGGGCTGGCGCAGGGGGCTTGTTCTCGGCCTCAGGGCCACCCTCGCTGGGCTAAGAGGGGACCAAGGAAAGAGTCTGTGAAGAAGAGGACTTCACAGGATGCAGCACACACCTATGCTGGATGGGGTCCAAGGCACTGCTGAGCCCACAATGCAGCCAAGCGCAGTGAGAAAGAAGAACCAAGCACAGCACTTATTTCTTCCAATGAGTCAAAATCACCATCACCATCACCACCACCTTTTCCTCAAGAATGAGACTCAAGGAAGCCTACAAACTGAAATAATTACAATATAAGATAGATGTAAAGGTTTCTAAGCTGAAGAGCCGGCATTGTATGTAGACACCTCCAAAGTCATGTGGTTGGCATGACTGCATGGAGTGCCATTACCTTCCCACCAAGGTGGTACCTATCTACTCACATGTGCATGTTTCCAAACTGCTATGTTGGCAGAAGCTGGGGCTAACAGTGGGAGTTCGCCGCGCTCCCCAGATTCGAACTGCCAACCTTTCAGTCAGCAAGTTCAGTAGCTCAGCAGTTTAACCCACTGCTCTACCAGGGATTTCAATGTACGGTAGTTAAATCAACGCTGGAATTAAACTTAGAATATTCAGTAGACCTCTGAGGATGTGGTGGGAGGGGTTTGGGTGATGCTTATCTTTTAAATATATTTTAAATTGTACTTTTAACCTGCATCCATCACACAAATATTTAATTGATTTTTTAAAAAAATATATCTATGTATATATATTTGCCTTGTTTTTAAATTGATTGTGCCGTGCCATATTATTGTTAGCTGCCTTGAGACTCTATGAGGGGAAAAAATGGGTAAAAATGAAGTAAATCTAACAACAACACACACACTTACAAAGACTAAAAAGCAGTTTAAAAAATACAAGTATCATTAAAACAATATAGCAGCCTAGAGTTGGAAATGACCTCGTGGCCCATCCAGTCCAACCCCTTTCTGCCAAGAAGCAGGAAAATCACATTCAACGAACCCTCAAGAGATGACCATCCCGCTTCTGCTTAAAAGCCTTCAAAGATGGAGAGTCCAGCACAGTCCGGGGCAGGGAGTTCCACTGCTGAAAAGCTTTCACAGTTCGGAAGTTCTTCCTCATGTTCAGATGGAATCTCCTTTCCTGTATTTTGAAGCCATTGTTCCACGTCCTAGTCTCCAGGGAAGCAGAAAACAAGCCTGCTCCCTCCTCCCTATGATTTCCCTTCACATCTTGATACCTGGCCCTCATCACGTCTCCTCTCAGCCTTCTCTTCTTCAGGCTAAACATGCACAGCTCTTTCAGCCACTCCTCATAGGGCTTGTTCTCCAGATCCTTGATTATTTTAGTCGCCCTAAAATTCCAGATTGTCAGCATCTCTCTTCAATTGTGGTGTCTAGAATTGGAAACGGTGTGATTCCAGGTGTGATCTGACCAAGGCAGAATAGAGGGTGACTTCCCTGGATCTAGGCACTAGACTCCTACTGATGCAGGCCAAAATCCCATTGGCTTTTTTTTTTTTTTTTGCCACCGCAGGTCTCTCTAACCTGTTAAGATCATTCTGAATTCTGCTCCTGTCTTCTGGAGTAGTAACTATCCCTCCCAACCCTCTTAAAAACCTTCCACTGCCGGCCAGATTTATTCAAAAAGGTGTTCACCTGCCAATAGAAAGACAGCAAGGAGGGGGCCATTCTGGCCCAACCAGGGAGGCAGTTCAAGAGCCTGAAGCAAGCACTGAGAAGGCCCTACACATCATGTGTCCTTACCTGTCAATGGCATCACCAGGGTTGGTGCCCCCCTCCCCCAATAGAAAGGTGAATGAAAGCAAGTTTTGTGTCAAAAGACAACAGAAGGAATTAATAAGACTTTAAGGCACAGCAGAGTCAACGGTGTGAGTGAGGCAGGGAGGGAGTGCACCCAATTACTAGATGTAGAAGAGGAAGAAGAAGGAAGGCTCACCTGGCCAGGTATATTCTTATGAGAGAAAGGGAGGCACCTACCTCTTTGAATGCATCTAGGAGGTCTCCAACAGTTTCTTTCTTGTTCAGGTCCTTCAACTTTCGCTTCTTCTTTGGCACCGAAACAGCCACTGGACAGTTGCAAAGAGGAGTTTGAGAACGTTGACTATTA